AAGCTTTTTATCAAGAAACTAAAATAAATAAATATATTATATTTATACCAATTTTGTATATAGAGAAAGACTATAATATATCTAAATTTTACATAAGATAAATTTAAATTAATATAAAAAAAAAATATAATATAAAGAAAAAAATATAATAATAATAATAATGTTATATAAAAATATAAATAAAATACATATAATTATTATAAAAACCATATAATTATAATTTAATAATAATATTTTAATCTAAATATAACTTCGTTTATTATAAAAATTATTATTGATTATTCAAATAAAGTATATTATTAATATAATATATATTTAAAATAGTATTTTAATTTTAATATTATTATTATTTAATAAAAAAAAGATTATATATTATATTATTAGTAATAAAACTATTTTATTAAATTATTTTATTATTTAAAAAAAATATACATATATATTTTCTATTATATTTATACAAACCGTAATTAGCTCATTTTTATTGTTAATAAAGATGATAATTTAAAATATTTTATATTTATTTTAATATTTAATTAAAAAAACATTTATTAAATTATATATAATAAATATAAATTATTAATTAATCCTAAAATTTATGATTTAAGTTTAAAAATATAAAGCAATTATAAAAATAATTAAAATTATAATAAATTTTTATGATTATTTTATAATAATCGCAAATGATTAATTTATATCTTATTTTGGCATCATCCTTCTTATAAATTTTTAAATAAAAAAACATATTATAATTATATTATTTATGGTTAAATTTTTTAAAAAATATTAAATATTAATGTTTAATAAGGAATTTTTTTTAACTATAGATATTTTAATGCAATTAAAACAATTTGATAATTTTTTTTTTTTTTATACTGTTGTTGTAATAAAATTTTATTATATTTTTTTTATTGTTTTAAATATTTTTTTAATTATTTAATTTTTTATATTAAATTTTATAGAAATTTTAATTAATTTTTTTTTCATTTTTTAATTATTAATTTAGTAATTATTTAGAATTATTTTTTAAGCAAAAATTCAAATTTTAAATAAATATTTTAAAGATTGAAAATACAATTATTTTATTTTTTAATAAAATATTAATAAAAAAAAATAAAAATGGTAATTTATTTTTAAAATATATTAAAATTAATTTATATTTAATTATAATAATTAGAGTAAAAGAAATATTTAACGAAAAATAAATTAAAATTCTCACCATAGTCCAATAAAAGAATTCTAGGATTTATTACTATTTGGTTTTTAAAATTATTTTATTAAAATAATATATTTTTATATTTAATATTTTAAAAAGAAAAGTTATAAGAAAAAGAATTAGATTTGGATCTAATTTTCGAATAAATAAAAGAAATATAAGATAATGAATAGTAATAAAATGTATTATAAAATTTCTTGATTTTCTCATTAAAAGTAAAATTATTTTACTTTTTAAATTTAAATATAATTATAATAAATTATTTAAGGTGGTTGGTTTAAATGCTTTTGTAATTTAATTAGAAGGAAAGGGTGTAAGTTAATTCACTAGCGAATATTTTAAGTAAGAAATCGAATAAAAAATAAATTAAGCTCATTAGTTTAATTAAGTATTTAATGATAAAAGGAATGATTTCGGAAGTTTAAAAGTAAATATGATTAGCTTTTTTTCTGCTTTTTTTGAAAAATATTAATTTTAAGAAAATTATGATTTCATGATGACTTTAATAAATTGGTTAGAAATATTTTCAAAGTAATAATAAAAAAAATATATTATTATTAATAATTACTTTTTTTAAATAAAGCTCATAAATAGTATAAGTAAGATATAACAGTATAAAATTTACTCATATAATTTTGGAATAAGTTGCTAAAAAATTTTAATCCCTAACAGAAATAGAAAATCGTAAATTAGACACATCTGAGGATGAAACTAAAAAACTAATAGAAAAAACAATATATTAAATAATTTAAAACATAATAATTGAAAGAATATTAGATAAGAGTGAAAAAATTCAAGAAATTTCCGTTTAAATATTTGAAAATTTAATTAATTTAGGACCTACCTAAATATATTTAAAGCTAACATATCTTTTTTAAATTTGTATTTTATTAGATAATGAAGATAATTCAGAAATGGTTAATAATATATTAATAATGCTATCTAAAATAAAATGGAAATAAGATGCCTATACAAGAGATATATTTGCACAATTTTTATAAAATGAAAAAGTAAAAGGAAGACTTATCTATTATAGCAATTCTAATTAATTTATAAAAAGTTATAATTCTATCTAGATTTTGAGAATGAGAGAGTAAGAAGGAAGTAACTTTTTAACTTAGGGTGAACTTTTAAAAGTACTAAATAGTATTTTTCATAATTATGAGGAAATAAGAAATGAGGGATTATATTTTTTTTATAAAATTTTAGAAAAATAATGTTAGAACTTAAAAAAAAAGATTAAGCTTTAATATATTTAATATGAAGGAGACAGTATAAAAGAAGTCTTCAGCTTTTATAAAAATAAAGGAGAAGAGGAAGAATATTCATTAATTTAATTTAATTAATTAATAGTTTTGCTTACTTCTATAGATAAAAATATTCATAGTAAAGCTCATCTTATATAAAATCTTGTAAATTCTATAAGTTTAGAATTAAGTTTTTTATATGATTTTGATACTATTTTTACGCTTATTTAATAACTAGTAGAATCTAATCAAAGCTAAGAAAAAATTCAGAGTTATTTCTAAGTAATTGTTCAAATAATTATTAGCATAATTAATGTTTTGACTATAATTTAAAATGGAAAAAAAGTTTTACTGAAATATTCTAAAATTTAATAGGAAAAACTTATTCTTATTAAAAGTGAATTTTTCGCTTCTATTCTCAAAAATCAAAATTTGTTATTTAATATTATTAATTAAAACGAGTTTTATTAAGAGTTTCTATTTTCAATGTTTGTTAAAATTCCCAAAGAAGATTTAGACTCAAACTTTAATGAAAAGCATTTTGAATCTTTTGTTTGCCTACTTTCAGCTAATATTCAACAAACTATTCTTAAAAGCGAAAATAATTTAACATTTTTTTAATATTAAAATATATTTAGGTTGCTTAATTATTTACTTTAGAATACTAATAGAATTTTCGTTTACAATTTCGAAGTATATTTACTTTTAAAAAATATTTATATATTTATATTTTATGTTTTTAGAATTGCTTGTAAAAAATTATTTAAGAAGGAATAATAGAAAATCTAGATAGCATTTACTCAAACTTAAACTAATAGAATTATTTCAATTAAGAAGAAATATAAATAGATTAAATTTTCTATAAATTAGGATGCTTAATTTAATTTTCTTAGCCTTTTGAAGAAATACATAATCCCAAGTTTATGTAAAAAGTATTTAATTTAGAAAAAGATTCTAGAAATAAATACTTTAAAAAATAAAAAATTGGTGCATATTTATAATTTTGTGAATACTCACTTACTAAAATGTTAAAACTATCTAAAAATTCAGTTCCTAAAATGGAAGAATATTTAAATTTTAGAAATTAAATATTAGATATAATATCTTAATATATAATAATTGATTAAGAGAATTTAACAAAAATTGAAAAAAATACAATTTAATTTTATTCATTTATTTTTACCATGAGAGCTTTGATGTTTATGGGCGATTAAAGAATAAAAAATTTAATTATCTATAAAGAAATAAAAGAAAATGATAATATATTTTAAAATTTAATTAACTTCTTTAAATAACTTAATGAAAATACAAGTGAGTTGTGTGACAATACTCTTATTTTTAATGTTAATGAAGGAATTTTCGCAGGAAGTAATGTTTTTAACGGAAAAAAATTAAATGATATAGATTTGATATTTTATATATTTTCTCGACTTATCTAATATGTTCCTGGTTATATTATGAGTGACTTTAGCATATTTATTTATAAGAATTATTTCGGAAATAAACAATATTTAGAAATTCTAAAAAAAACATTATCTAAGGTTAAATATGATGAGAAAAAAATATAAGGAATATAATTATTTTGGGCTTTTTTTGAAAAAGTTGTTCATTAATTAGAAAATGAAGAATAGTAGAAACAATTTATAAATTTTGCGCATAAAAGTTATTATCAAGTAGAAAATAAGTAAGATTATGGAATTTTTTTCGACAAATAAATTCATTTTTTCTGTACAAAAATAATATAAATGGTAAATACAAATGAAATGAAAAATTTTAATGATTTAATTTATATGGGATTTCTCATACAATAAAAGTTTAAAGGAATATAAAATAAAGAAGAAACTGAATCATTAAAGAAAAAATATCATAACCTTTTCCTTAAAAAAGTGCATGAATTTATATCCAAAAATAGCCAGATGGATTTTCTTTTCGACTAATAAACTAAAAATGTTATATATAAATATATTAAAAATCTCTAAGAATGGTCACACGTTTAGTTTAATATTGATCCTTATGAAAATTATTTAAAAAATACTATTGTTGTAAATTAAGAAATCAGTATTTAACATTTAAGTGGTGAAGATGATTAATAAGAATTATTATAAGATAAAGAAGAAAGTTTGAAAAATCTAAGTGTTTAACTAAGTTCTGTTTAAAAGATGGAAGTGCTAGAAGAAAGTGTAAAAAATTCGAAAGCAAGTAAAATAATATAAAAAGAAAATGATGATTCTGTATAAAAAAATAAATAAAAAAACTTTTAACCAAAAAAAAAAAAAATGAAAAAATAAAGTTAATTTATATTTAATTTAATATTAATAAATATATATTTTATTATATAAAAAAATTATTTTTATATTGTTTAGATATTATAAAATTTATAAAAAATTAATTATTTTTAATCATAAAGTGTATGTATGTGGTATATCTATATATTTTAAAATTAAAGTTAATCAAATATAAGAATTTATAATTATATATATTTATAAATTTATAAAAAAATTATTTATATACATCTATATATATTTTATAAAAAAAACTAACTATAGTATGAATATTTAAAATTCAAACAAACAAAAATATATCATGAAACTCCATTAGTGCAACAATGTGCTATTTTTATTTTGTCGACATTATCTTTTAATTAAATTTTTTTATCTGTTTCTACAGTTACATAACTTTTTTAACATAGTTCATATATTTCTATTTATTTATAATTTTCAAAAAAAAATAAAAAAAAATACATTAAACAACAATCATAAATGCTTAGTCAATATTGATATTTTCTAAAGCGCTAACTTCAATAAATTATATTTTATGCGTTTTAGCGAATTCTAATCCTTCTTATTTACTTACTGTTCTTAAATTTGAAATATCGGTTTTATTTCCTACTAATAATATTTGAGTATGATCTTCAACATTATCTTTTATTTATTAAAAAAGTTTTTCACATTGTTAAAATGATGCTTGTTTTGTAATATCATATATTAAAAGTACTCCTAAAGCACCTCTAAAAAACTATTATGTTATAGATTGAAATTTTTCAGTTCCTGCTGTATCCCATATTTATGTCTATATTATTTTATTTTCTGTTGTTATTATACGTTATCCAAATTCCACTCCTATTGTAGAACAATTATCTATTTAAAATTGATCTCTAGTAAACCTACTTAAAATATTGCTTTTTCCTACTCCTGAATCACCTATATAATTTTATATTACATATTTTTTAATTAATAAATTAAAAAAAATTAATAATTAAAGATGTTTTATATATTTCATATCAATTATTATATACCTACTAAAACTATTTTAATCAAATAGTCATATAATGGTTAAAAACCTTAAACTTGTACTTACATTTTATATATTTAAAAATTATATATATGTATATATATATTTTTTTTATAAATATATATTTTTATTTTCGAAATTATATAATATATACTTTAAATAAATTTTTATTTATTTTTAAGAATAAAAAGTTTTTTATAAAATTATATTTAGTATATAAATTTTTTAGAAATAAAAATATGTAATTTCATAAAATAAAAAAATATTAAATATTTTTATATGAATTATTTATTACAAGATATATAAAAATTATTTTTAATATATATATAATTTTTAAATTAATTTCAAGTGAAAGATTAATTTTCGTATTCTTCCTCATTTTCATTAATTTTTAAATCTTTAAGATCAGGGCAAAATGTTTTATCATAAACAAGTGTTAATATTGTGTCATTAGAAAGTATTTGTTCAATTAATTTTTATCTCATCTCTTAAGTAAAAGTACTATTATTATCTTTACTTTTATGCTTTTATTTGAAATCTTATTTAATATTTTCTACGTATTTACTAATTATTCTATTTAGTTCATTTTTTTATTCAATTTCTTTTAAATATAATTATTTTAAATCTTTTACTCGTTTTTATTCTTTTCGTAGAGAGCTTTAAATTACTTTAAATGTTTTTTCTGCTCTATATAATATATATACAATAAAATTAACTTGATAACTAAAACTAAAACAATATAATTACCTTATTGCGATATTAGGATTATTAATATCATTTTATTAATCTTTAAATTATATTTTAATATATACAATTTATAAAAACTATAAATACCATTATTTGATTATGAATTCTTCTTTAAAGAATCTTCATCTGCATGTTCTATTTCTTTTGAAGCTTCATTTAAAAGTTGCTCATATTATTCGAGCTAACTTTTGAGGATTGCATATTTTTTTTTTTTCATAATTAATTCTTTAAGTAGCATTTCCCTATCATTCTCCTAAGTTTAATATTAACTTTTTAAATCCATATATTTTTTCATTAAATTATGATTTTCATTATCTATTTTTTGGGCAATATTTTTAATCCATTCTAATTTACTTGTTAACTTTAATTCCTTTTCTACATAATCTTAGTCTCTATTTTTATTTTCTTAAAATATAAAAATTAGATATATATATATATTTATTTACTTTTTGCTTTTTTTAATTCTTTCTTCTTCAAACTATTTTTTAATTTCATTTATTTTATTATTGAAAAATCTCAAAACATCTTTTTCTTAATCTAATATTATTTTTGAAGTTTTTACTTATATATTATCAATGTTTTCAACTATTTATGAATGCAATTATTATATTTCTTCTTGCCTTTTTTATTCATTTGTGTTTGGAACTGCTTTATTTTTTATTTCATCTTATAATTCACATATTATCTTTCTATATTCAACTTCACGTTTTTTAAATCTTTCTTTTCTGCTTTCTAATTCATCTATTAAACGTTTGTTTTGCTTCTTTTATTCTATTAAAATTTATTCTAATTCATTTGCTCTTTACACACAATCTTTTGCACTACTTTCAATTTTTATATTACCAAATCCAGTTGTTTCACCTAATATTTACAATAATTTTTACTATTTTATAAAATATTTGATCTTACCCTTCTTTTTATCTTTTTCATTTTAAGTTTTTTATGGAATATAAAATTTTTAAGCTTTTAATGTTTCAGTTTCTATTTTAAATTAAAATTAAATATTTTATTATAGTCTTAATATTTTTAATTTAATATATTTTTTTAATTCTTTATATAGAACTAAAAGTACTCTTTATATAATCAGCGTTTTAGTGTTTTTCTGACATTATTTTAAAATTAAAAAAAAAATATTTTATATAAATATAACTGATAATATCAAAAAATTAAAAATAAATAATTATAAATCAATTATTTATATTAAAAAATATAAATATATATTTTTTATATAATAAAATAAATATATTTTAATGAATAATTTTTTTCGATTAAAAATATAGTTATAAATAAAATAAAGATAAATAAGTATAAAAAAATTATTTTACATTTTAAAAGAAAAAAATGTAAAGAATTTAATCAGGTTTCTAAAAATAAGATTATTAATACTATAATTAATTAAAAATTAATTTTAAAAAAATCATGAGATTTATTTTAAAAAAAAAAATAGAGAAATTAAATATATATTTTTTATTATATCATATTTATTTTTAATCTTATAATTTATTCATATTTTTATAATTTATAATATAATAAATATATATAATTTTATTTTATTAACTTAATTATAATTTAGCTATTATTTATAAATCCTTAAAGGAAGTGGATATAAAGTTTAAGACTTCTAAAATTATATATAATATGATTTAATATAAAATTAATAATAAATAAATATAATTTATAAACTATATATCAAATTATGAAATTATATTTATATATAATTATTTTAGCTATTTTAATTAAAAAATATTATAAAAAGTTTAAAAAGACAATAATTAATATATTTTATTCTAAAACATATTCAAACAAATTTAATATAGTATTATAAATTAATAAAATAAATAAGAAATTAAAAAAATAATAATTATAAAGTTAAAATTAACAAACATTATTAACAACATTATTAATTTTAAAATAAAATAAAATAAACAAATATATTAAAATAATCATTATTACAAAAAGAAGAATATTTTAAAGATTTTAAAATTTTGTAAAATACAATAATATAGACTGTTAATTATAGATTTAATAGATTAATAATAAAACAAAATTTTTACTAATTATATAATTGTATTTGGTCTTAATAATAACATATATAATAAACTTTTAAAAGTAATATTTAATTTAATTAATTTACATATATAAATAGATAAACATTAATATTTAAATAGCACATATTTTAATAATATTGGATTTAAATTAATATTTTATAATAAAACAAATTATTTTAAATATTATATTTATTATATTTACTTTAATATATATATGTATTTTATTTTTCATCTTATATTCTATTAACGCATATATAATTCTTCTTCCCATTTATAAAATTTTCTGTATTCTTGATTGAGCTATTTTATTTAATTAAAATATTTAAAAATAAAAATAAAAGCTATAAATAATAATTATTATACTCTTATATCAAATGATTATTAACCAATAATATGAGTTTATTCATTATTTTTACTTAAATATTTTATTAGTTATTCCCTTCTGTAATTAAGCAATTATTGATATTATTTTTATTCTTCTTATACAATTAGTTTATAATAATCAACTAATTTTATTTCATCTCTAATTTAATTCTAACTTAAGTCTATATAAAAAATAAAATTTAGATTTAAATAATATTAAAAAATAACATTAAAAAAAAGATTATTGAGAGTTTAATAAATTATTGTCCTTTACTTCATAATTTTTCAAATTATTACCTAATAAGTTTTAAGTTTTTTTAAAACAACATTTAACTAATAAGGTTAATGGATTCAATAAAAATTTTTAAATTACAAATAATGAAATTAAGATAAGCAGAATGATTCCATGAGCGTAGTTTTACTTTCTATTAAGTACTCTTTCAATAAATTATTGAAAAAATTAATTTTAACTTTTAATTTTAAAAAAAGGATCACTAAATGTTTATATCTCAAAAAATATATCAGTATTTCCGAATATATAAATAGAAAATATAGTATGAATAAACGGAACACCATAAAGCATTTTTCTGAACATTCTCTGCATTTTTGAATCATAATTAGGTGGTATTTTGTGAACTCTAAAAACTTTTTAATAAATAAAATTTCTTTAAATAATTTTAATAAGAAATTATAATTACTATATATTTTATCTATCCAAAATATTACTAAAAGATGGATAAGTGATGTAAGATATAACAAAGGGATGCCTGAAGAATAAAGCATTCCAACATAGCATATGCCTGTATTTTTTTTAAAAAAAGATAATTTTTATTTTAATTTTTTAAAAAACATAATATTTAAGAGTATCTAAATGCTATTAAAAATTCAGGACCGGTGTAAAAATCAATCCATTAATTGAGTGTTTTCTATTTAGTTTTTCTAGAATTAGTTGAACATCCTCTATCAAGGCATTTTTTTAAATTTCTAATAAAAGTGAATATAATAGATATAATAATTGGACTTGTTATATTAATTATTAAAGTAAGACTTATAACAGTTCCAATATTTTTAAACCATTCTGGACTTAAATCAGAATAAATTCCTCCAAATAAAAAATATAATCCTTCACTATTTTAAATATTAAAATTAATATTTGTAACAAGAATAATTAATCCCTATTATTTTTTATTTAATTTATAATAAACTAATATTTTTTTGATTTTACTGTATTAAAAAACTAAGCAGCAAAGACTTTTATAATCTTAGAATTAAGTTCTTCATCTAAAAGTTTGTACTTTTCGAAACTGCTTAATAAAGAGAAGATTATTTAAATAATATAGTTAATAATAATGACTATAAAGACTATTAAATATGGTAGAGAAGTTACTAAAGATTTATTTATAACCCATTAATTGCAAATTTTTTAGGTTTCAATTGGTAAACTAATTGATAATATTTCATTAATTCTTTATTTACAATAACATTCTATAAAACCATAATTTTTCTATTATAAATTTTAATCTTCCAGAGTTACTTATTATATTGTGATGTTTTCAAATAAGTTATCATTGCAGTTAACTTTTGGATAGCTATTTAATAAAGCATCTCTCTTATTTCTAATCCACACAACAAATATATATGCTTTTTATTTGATTATATAATGTTTTATTTTTATTTTTTACAGGCTACTAATAATGCTGCTGTTATAGCGAAACTTATAAATCTTCTTATCCAAACTCCTTAAGAACCATTATTTTCCCATTTTATACAGTCTGGATTTGGTGAAGGTGAAACTTTAATATTTTCTTTTTGAAAAACTTTTCTTAATTCATACAACACTTAAAGCAAATACATAAATTTTAAATGAATCTATCGAACAAAGTTGTAAAAAAATATTATTATATTATTTCTTTTTATTCTAAAGTTTCAAATGTAATCCAGATGTAATTTATATCCTTTTTTAAATACAGATAAATATAATTAATTAATTATTTATTTAATACATTTTAACTATTTTCAACTTTAACAATATTTTAATTACATTTTTGAATTTATTTTCGGATGTTTTTTATCTTTTCTAATAATTTTTAAGCTTTTTTTTATTATTTTGAATTTATTTTTGTTTGTATTTAGTCTAAGTCTGAAAATTCAACTACAGAATATTATTTATGAAATTAATTATTAGGATCGAATTAATTAATATATTATACAAATAAATTATTTTCTTATTACATTAAAATTCCTTTTTATCTTGAATACATTATATCGGTTTATAATTCACTAATTTTTATGTCAACGATATTTATTTTCTCTTTTTTTTATTTATTTTTTAAATTAATTAAATAATAATGTTAAATATATAAGCATTTTAAAATTACTATTTTTTTAATCTAATCCATATCTTTAAACTAAATGTGAAAAAAATCTATAAAATTAATTTATATAATCACTTTCACTTTGATTTTTTAATTTTTTAGGTAAGTTTGTTATTTATAAAGTAAAATGAGAAGGAGTTCTTTACTGTTTCAGAACATATTTGATGCTTTATTCTTCTGCTTTTTCTTGGCTTTTTTTTAGATTTTATAAAAATAAAACCATTAAAATTATTATTTTACAAGTAAATCATCATAATGTACCAGAGTACAATAAACGCATCTATTCCACTAACTAAATAAGATAGATATTTCTTTTCGAATTCCAAACCAGGCGCTAATTAAATTTTAGCGCCATAACAGTATGCACTTAAATATATTCTAGAGTCTAAAGGAGGATTTTCTTTAAAAAGCTTCAAAAATTAAATAGCCTCTAATGAACATTTTGTTTATTTATCACAACCACTTTAATTAATAAAGTCTTCATATTCCTAAGTATAAGTTTTTCCATCTATAACGTTTATGTTATAATTTAATTCAAGTCTGCTTTTATCAACATAATCACAATTTTTTATATTATTGCTATCAGATTTCACTTTATTTGTATTTTTTTTTTTTTTTTTTTTTTTTTTTACTTATCCCCCATTATAATGATTCTCTAAAAGCAAGTTTGCCTGCTTTACATTTAAATTCTATATTTTATGTCAAAAATGAGCCATTATTCATTTCAAAATTACAAAATTTAGAATCTATTTTTTTGATAATGATTACTTTATTTTTAAAAAATACCTAAACCAATAACACCAACTGTAGTCATTAAAAGAGCACTTTAAAAATTTTCTAATTTATCACTATTATTGACTGAGCCTTTATTTTATATTATTTTATTTTAGTAAATTTGAAGTATTTATCATATCTTACATTTTATTGATACTAATATAATTGGTAAGGAAAAAAGGAAAAATAGGAAGTAATTACAAATTAAATGTTTAAGGTTTTTAAAATATAATGTTATTCCTACTCCCAACTACTCAACTGATGAATTTTCAGATGTAAACCAACAGCAATGATTTCCGATACTTTAATCGCAGCATACGTCATAGCAATTATACTTCTCAAATTCTGTTTATCCTTTTTTAACTTTAATCTATTAAAAACGATATATAATAATATTATTAAATTTTCTTTATTTTTATATATTTATAATTTTCACCTTTCTCATATGATTTTAGTCTATTTTCTTTTTAAATTCCTAATAATTTATTTATTGGCTTTATATATATTTTTTCATATCAAACCCCTTAAAATAATAAAAATTACAAATAAAAATTAAATTTTAAAAATAATTTTATATAATTTAATGTAATTTGATATCTATTTGCTCTATTACTTTGTTCATAAATGAATTGTTCGATCTATTTTTTTATTATTATAATGATTTATAAATAAAATATGAATTTTACTCAAGTTATTTTGGTTCTTTTTAACCTATTTCTAGTTCAATATCTTTATTATTTATAAATAAATTATTAGGTTATTCTTGC